TGCCCAAGGCCAGGCTGGACACTGGGGACATTGGAGCAGCCTGGGACAGTGGGAGGTGTCCCTGCCATGGCAGGGGTGGCACTGGGTGGTTTTAAAGTCCCTTCCAGCCCAAACCATTCCATGATTGTGAGCAGGACCTCCTTGGGTCTCTGGACATACTGAGCTACTCAGAGACGGGGATTCTCAGCTGAGCTAAAGCTGCACCTTCAAGAGTGAGAAGGTGATGTTACCAGATAATTGACATAACACCAACAAAATACTCCAAACCAACTCTTTTAATGCAGACATCTGATTAAAAAGAATATTTTCTTGTCTTTAGCAGCATAATTGGCAAGGATGACCAAGATGCAGAACTTCACTTGGGCAGTGGAAGATATTTTCAAGGAAACCTTCCTCAATTACATGAACAGCTGGAGGAGGAACATGACAGAAGCAACGGACAAACTGCAGGCTGAGGTGGCTGCTGAAAACTTTGACTACGTTATCCTGTACCTGATGGTGATGATTGGGATGTTCTCCTTCATCATCGTGGCCATCCTGGTGAGCACTGTGAAATCCAAGAGGAGGGAGCACTCCAATGATCCCTACCACCAGTACATCGTGGAGGACTGGGGGGAGAAGTACAAGAACCAGGTGCTGAACCCAGAAGATCTCAAGTGTGTGGTCCATGAAAACCTGGGGGCAAGGGATAAAACAAGCCCAGAGTCCCCCTGACTTTCTGGGAACGCCAGCAGTGAGGGATTCGTGGAGCCACACAGAGGGAACTCACTGGAATTCCAAAGAGCTGTGCAAGTGTTGATTCAATTTGCACACTGGAATTCCAAAGAGCTGTGCAAGTGTTGATTCAATTTACACACAGGTCAATGGACAATGGAGTCCTGAGGAAATCAATGTCATGGTTCCTGTGAAAGTCCAAGAAAAATTTGGGAAAATAAAGCCATGACAGGGAAAACTTGATTATTTGAGCATTTTTAAATCCACAAGCAGATCTGGATGTTCCCACCTCAGAATAACTGTGAATTAGTGCTGGTCAAAAGTGCCAATCTAGATCCAAACTGTGTGACTTAAAACCACTTAAAAAATAACCTGAAAATATCCAGAAAATTCTCCAATCTCCACGCATTGACTGAAGAAGCAATTAGGGAATTGTGAAAAACGCCAATCACTTGTTTTTAAAATTTTAAAAGTTTAATAGTAATAAAATGGTTATAAAAATAGCAATACAATTA